CACCCCCCCCCCTCCCTAAAAAATTCGATCCTGCCAAAATTAGCCACTAGAAAGAAATATTATCCGAACTATAGTCACTTGGCAAAATCATATTTCTTTTTAAGAATCAGTGAAGTTTTTGTTTCTATAGCAACCGCTCATGAGTCCAACTTTCTATGAGGAAAATTGCATTTTTTGGTGTAAGTCCGATTGTTTTCTTAAATCAAATACAAAGGTTGGAAGCCTTACATTTGGTTTGCCATTGATTTTCATAATAGTAGTTGCATGGAAATTAAAGAAATGCAGATTTTTCGAACTTTTTATCGATGAAAGCAAAACAAAATCTGCTCTGAACTGTTTCAACAAGCTAAAAGTTTACTTTTACTGAATCGAGTTCTTCACACAGAAGAGTCTTCCTGTTGTGTTTTGGATTTATTACTCTTGCCCCAAAATTAATGTTTGCCTAGATTTAATTTTTCAATTGTAAGTTTACTTAGAAACTGTGCCAGCAGTGACCATACGCGTTATTGGCTCTGCACATCTGGTAGCAATATGCAAATCTTTCAGTTCCTGTCAAGAACTAAAACTCTGGCACAACATGTAGGTAGTTTAGTGTATCGAAGACCAGAGCAAGGAAGGAAGTAGAACTCAAGGTTGCTTTTTCTTGCACAAGAAGCGAAAAAAATATCGTAAGTAAGAAATAATAAATCTTCTATTTAGACTGTAGGATTTTAAATCTAGTTTGTTGTATAAAAATACCGACGCATATATATTTTTAAACGGATTTCCAAGATTTTCCCCTCGGCTCGATGTCAACAGCTGGATTTGAGGTAATGTTTATAACTAAACTCCGTGGACAATCCGTGCTTGGGTGAAAATATTTTGAAAGCGTACTATACGTTTATAAATATTTAATAAGCGCATGTTGTAGAAATTATTCTGTGAAAATGTAGTTAATCTGAGATGTCTCAGCAACGCAATGGAAAGCGAAATAACAAATGACACAGAGTCATAACGTTTTAGAACCGTGAATATCGTCACGATTCGTTTAATAACTCCTTTTTAGCAGCAATAGCTGCAGTATTGTAGAGAAGGACAGTATTCTAAAGAAGATTTATTCGGCTTCTGAACGGAAAGGCTTATCGAATACGAAAGATAAAATTTTATCAACAAAAAGGCGTAGGAAGTAAGATACTTTATTGAATATATTAACAGAACACCGATAAACGCATATCTATCAAACTGGCGGTTGACTGAATGATGCGGTTTAAAAGTAATCAACCAATGATTGCTATTTATCGCCGGAGGTCGTTAACGCAGAACATTTCATGATGGACGATCTCATCTGCGAAAAAAATTGTGAAAATCAAGTAGCGTCATTGAATGTTTCTTCAAGTGTAAATATTCCAGTTTTGTGTTTGGACAGGACAGTAAGTTTGAAGCATATTTTCTTAATTACAGAGGCACCCATAGTAGGGAAGATAAGTATTCTTAAATGCTGTTGATTTTTGAATTTCACTCACTCCCGACTGCATGCTGTGCTGTTGGACTACCTAACCGCGCATAGCAAGAACAACAGGACAGGCTCGAAGGTCTTTTACAGTAAGAACCCCGCGTATAAAAACCTAGATTTTTCCAAGTTAGCCTAAAAAAGTTCTTCTATAAAAGGTTTTAACTGCAAAATTAGGCTATTTAGGTTCTTATATTATTTATATAAGTTATGCATAAATGTTTGGAAATGCAAACCCTATATGCACTTAGTCAAAGCCACACTGTATGTAAATGACAGCTTACAGTCTTTGTAGGGCTTATTTCCTTTGATTTATATTTTTTGCTTTGAAATTTTAGCCTGAAACAGGTTCTTATGTAAAGGGGTTCAAATGGAAGATGTTAGCCTAACAGGTCCTTAAAATATAGGTTCTTATACGCAGATTTTGACTGTGTTACTTATTTTACATATCAGTGAGTTCATAGAGGTTTAATGGTATTAGGATATTATTAATTCATTGCTAATTTTGGATTCAGATGGCTGCACCACGCTGGGGTTATGGTCCTAATAACGGGCCTTCTCATTGGGCCAAGGATTTCCCAGCAGCTGCAGGTACACGCCAGTCACCGATCGACATCAAAACACATGATGCTCATTACGACAGTTCACTTAAAATAGATCCCTTGAAGATCCAATACAGCGAGGGAAAAGACTTCACTGTCAGCARCAATGGCCATTCTTTGGTCATATCGCGCAGGTCCAGTGAAGGGCATCACCTGAGCGGTGGGCCGTTGGAAAATAAGTACCGCTTTGAGCAGTTTCATTTCCACTGGGGAAAGACGTCTGCAAGCGGCTCGGAGCATTTACTGGATGGCAAAGCCTTTCCTGCAGAGCTACATCTTGTGCACTGGAACACAGAACTCTTCAGCAGTTTTAGMCAAGCAGCATCGAGTAGGAATGGTCTGGCTGTCCTTGGCGCTTTTGTGAAAATCGCTGGTGAGAATCCGAGTCTGAAGACAATCACAGACTTGATACCCCAAGTCCAAAATATTGGCGCCAAACAAGACCTTAAAGTTTCCTTCAACTTGACATCGATGCTACCAAGTAATACCAACGACTACTGGACCTACAGTGGTTCTCTTACCACCCCTCCCTGCTCTGAAAGTGTCACGTGGTTTGTCTTCAAGGAGCCAATCAGCGCCTCAGAGAAGCAGATGGAGCAGTTTCGTTCACTGAAGTCTAGTGATGGTGGATGCATAGTGAACAACTACAGACCAGTTATGGATGCTAGCGGACGCAATGTCAGGGCGTCTTTTGAGTGAATTTGGCTGAAATAAATTCTTGTTATTCTGATCTTGATTTGGCAAGAATGATCGAGGGACAAAGGAATCAATTGTTTCCATTGTTAAACCAGAAATAATTGAAGGCTTACAGAATCTATAGAAATGTTGTAAAGAAGAGAAACAACAAATAAATATGAATTTCCGAAATACATATCTCTTGTTATGACCTGATCTGATTGTAAAAGTACGTAAGAAACGAGTCAGCTGCTAAAGGAACTGGTGCAGACTCTCTTGTTTCCGTAAAAATAACAAACTAAGCTAAACATGCAAATTTGAAGTGCCACTTTACTGGGATAATCTTTAAGGTTCTCAAAACACCGGTTAAAGGTTTTTCTTGATATTCCAATAGGAATATTTGTACAGGCTTAACCTCGTCTATAAGTCATATCAGCTATTCACAGATACCATTAAAAATCCGTGGGATTTCAAAACATTGGTATTGTTCAAGCAGCGCATTTTTTACATTACAGTTCACATTTGCAAATGATTTGCTCTTAAGCGAGGCTAAGCCTGTACAAATGAGCCTTCAGTAATAAAATATTTACCAAACGAGAAAAGGGACTAATTTGCCATGGGCAGCTATGAAAGAATGTGTCTTGTTCTCTCTCATCCTTTATAAGATAAGATAACTGCATTCAACTTTCCAACTTTGATTTTTATGCTCAAAATTTCAACATGTATTCTTATATATATATAGCTAAGTTCATTAGTGTTGTTTTACGACATACACAAAGGTCTTGTTTATTGTTTTGTATTTTGATTATATCTAGCAAACAGTTCACTTGCGATTGAAAGTTTTGATTTGTTTCTTGGCTCAAACAAAGCACATACAGTTGAAGAGTTCTCTTTTACAATAGATGCTTTTAGCGTAATTTCCCCCCTTTCGTATCACGGTCATTAGTTCATTTCTCTTACCACGTGTCAATCCCTAGAGTACCATTACCTTGTTTAACGTTTGCGCAAGAGAAAACACGTGACGTGAATATAGATACAATACAACTAACAAAAAATCTTACTATCAAGGAAATGACACGTGATGTGTAACGGAAAAACATTCTGCCCAAGCTAAGGAGGTCTATTTATCTCTATGTCCAATGTCTCGTTAAAGACCGCGTGCTTTTCGCTTAAGCATTACTTCTTTGTTTAACGGCTCTACATGTCGAAAAGACACTAACATGAGGATACAAATCAAACACAAGAGTCCTATTCTCAAGGGAATGACAAGTGGTGTAAAATGGGAAAGCATCACATCTAGCTAAAGTCATATCCATCTCTTGCATAGACCTGCGTCACAACATTCTAAAAAGATGCAAATCGTTTTGTTTTCACACTAATATATTATATCTAAACTATTCGTTATTGTTAAATAATTATCTCAAGTCTGGAGAAGATAATTTTACTGCGGTTTGCGATATTCTCCAAACTTGGTAGTTACAAGCTGCACGCTGAAATTTGGTTTTTCTCTGTCGTCAATCAAAAATAATTAGTCGGTACCTTTTATGTTGTTGACTGGCGACAGTGATTAGAGCGTTTTCTCAAGGTTGTGTTCGCATCCAACTTAACGGACCACAAAAATGAAAAAACAACTTCAATAAAAATGCGAAGCCAGTTTTATATTTAAAGAGGAGAATAATCAATTTTATGAATTCTTATCAAAAGAAAAATTCACAGCAATGCATGATAATACTCGTGATTTGGTGTCGTTGCTCGTCAAGTTCCTTAAATTAGGATGCGCACGCAAACTTGAGAAAACGGTCTAGTATTACGCAACGAGCTGTCGACTGAAATGTCTGAGTTCGCAGAATATGGACAACCGCAGTAAACAAGGCACCATAATGTTGACATTAACCCTGAATCATCAGACCATCGTTCATGCACGTGCAAAGTGTATTTTGATTCAAAAATTTTAACATTTCCTCTTAGTGTACATGCGCTAGCTACATCGAGACTAGCCTTGTACGATAGGATTATAATGTAAGGTCTAGGAATCCTGCAAAATCTGCATTCATCACTAATCAACAACACTTGTATCGCCAGCGCTCTTTGTGTTGAGACCTTCCAATTATCATAAATACAGTGGTTCTATATAATATTTATTAACGAGTCGATATAGAACACCGGCACCCAACTACTCCTCCATTCGCGGTCAACTATCTACCCACCCATCCGTCTACTCGTTCACGCATGCATTCATGCATTTATCCATTCATCCATTTCTCCATCCCGCGTCGATTCGTCGTATGTATTCATCGACCAACTATTCGCCCGTCCGTTCATCCATCAAGATGCATGCATTCATCTATCTATTCGTTCATTCTTTTTCTTTCATTCTATTTAATATATTATGTAACTCTTCAAAAATAATTTTGAAATGTGGCAAATTTTGGAAAATTAAATACTCCGTCAAATATCTCATATCCTTTATCAAAATTTTTGGATTTTAAATACTAAAGAAAAAAATCGCCACTCAAATATAAATTAGTCTTTGACGTGTGAAGAAAATAAAAAATGTTCACTTCATGCCTCCTCGAATCAGAAGCACGCTGGTATCCGATCCCTAATAGCACTTGAGTTTAGTAAATTATAAGCCAGCTTGTATACAGTGAATGTAAAGCTTAGCCAATCAGAATCAAGTTCGTATACAGTGACTATCAAGCTTAGCCAATTATAAGTAGGCTTGTATACATGGCAGCATATAAGAAGCCAGCTTGTATACAGTGAAGTGAATGTAAAGCTTAACCAATCAGAATCAAGTTCGTATACAGTGACTATCAAGCTTAGCCAATTATAAGTATGTTTGTATACAATGACTATTAAGCTTAGCCAATCAGCCAGTTTGAATAAGTTTTCAAAAAATTACTTCTCAATTTTCTACGACATTTGTCACTAAATCGGGAAGTTCCTCAATATTTAAGGTTATTTCAAGGTATATGTCCTTGCAAAAGCTCTACCATTCATTGTATCTTAGTGTCGGAGCCACATGCCGTTGCTATAGTTACCATGACTTCACACGGCAGAGGTGTAACTTGTGGTTCCATACACTAACCTCTCGGGAGATTTGGGGATTATTCTATTACCGCATTGATCACATAACATCGGGGTTTCCTTTTCTTCTTTTACCTCGCAGAACATTGACTTAATGAATCCCCAGACTGTAAGAATCGAGCCTGTATTTCCATTGGGACCTACTAAAGCTAACAGGGTTGTGAAGAAGAACAGAGCGTACAAAATAGAGAGTCCGATCGTGACGAACATGAAGATCCCAAACTGGAAGAAAAACACTATTTTGGCCGCCAACATGAAGACAGATGCTCCTAATGTTGTAGAAGCACCGGACAGCACAGATATTCCAACAGAACCAAGAGCTTCTCTGATCTTTTCTTGTCGAGAATGATGAGGCGAACGAACATAACCGTCTGCTAAGTGAACGACATAGTCCACAGCGAGCCCGACTACAAGAGTTAGATTTAGAGACTCGAGGACGCCTAGTTTCCATCCTATCATTGGAATAAACCCAACTACACCTACTGTAATGCAAGCTATTGTAGCTCCAGCCATCAATCCCACAATCCAGTTCGTTGTCATTAAGGTCAGAAGCCCGATAGCTAGACCCAGGCTCATTAGGATTCCTCGGACAGCGGTGCTTGCAAGGATCTGGAAAATGTATTATTTTCAAAATTTATGCTTTGTTACCTCGGAAATATCGTTTTGCAAAATGGTTAGCAATATCACTTTTGAAAAAAAAAAATGCATGATTTAACTGCATACCTCTTGTACTTTCATCCAGTGCCACGCGTTGTGTGCTGATGGGGTGGCCTGGAACCCATTGCGGCATGAGGAAGGCATAGTTTTCATCTGATATGGTAAAATACAGTGGTTAATTTTTACATTATCAATCAGGTGATTATTATTAGTAACCTGTAACAGACCTATTTAGATTGGACGTAATAATGTTTTCCCATTAATATAACACGTGTCAGTCTCTTAAGAATAAGATTTTTTGTTTGATCATGGGTTCAAGTATCAATATTCATGTTTTTCTTATGCACAACCGTAAAACAAAGAAATTATACTCTAGGGACTGACAAGTGGTTTGAAATGGGTAAAACATCACGCTCAAGCCATAAGGGTCTAAAGGTTAATCTAGCGTTGAGTATAGCAGCATGGCAAACCACCTTTGGTCTGTCTGATCTTATGGAAAACTGTAGTTCCTTTGTAATTTGCTGGGGTTTTTTTCACGGCACACACGTGCACCACCGATATGGTCACGTCACGGTCAAACCACGCTCGTACAAATAATAGATCCAAAGTCGTAAGGAAATCTTTTCTAGGCTTGTATATGTACCAGGTATAAGCGGCTCTGGCTTACCTTATTGTTCATGAAGTTTTCCCAATGGTCATAGATAGCAAGTCCTTCCACATGACCAATCCTCGTCGGGACCATGGTTGTGTTGATTTCTATCGATGCAAACAGCAATCTGTTGCCAAAACGATTACCTGTCAATAGAGAAACCCAAGGAGGAACGTTACTTGCAGGCTTAGCAAATATGTCTAGTTAGTAATTAGGGGCGGTGATGAAAACCCAGTCTCTCGTTCCAGTCCCTTGTTCCTGCTCATGTCATCCTAAAAGACTTTTTTCAAAATCAAAAAGAATACAAGTACGCATTTTGAAATTCTAACTTCAACGGAACCCGTGAAACTCTAGACAAAAAAGAGCAACAGAGGGACTTTTTCACGCGGCAGCCATGTTGGTGTGAACAATAGCTTCCACCACGCGTAGCCTTGCATTCAAGTGCTTGAAAATAAATTAATGCAGGTTAAAAAAGTTTTCATTCTCATTAGAATTAACATGGCTGCCGTGTGATAAAGATCCATGAACAACAAAAAATTCAACTCGATTTAATGTGTCACCAGTCCACAGGTATCCCACATTTCCAATGTTTTTAAAACAACGAAAACAAAGATTAGGCACCCTGTGGTGCATGAAGGAAAAATAAGACTCACCATCAAAGTTTGGTTTTCCAGCGGTTTCTGTCTCATCTAGAGCCCCTCCCAGCAGCCTGCTGTACGTGATGTAGTCATGACTACTGTACGTTTGGTTCCCTTTAGTCAACCAGAATCCCATCATCACTTCATAGTATCTGTAGTATGTGTCTGTTAACTTGGTCATGTCATATACGCGCGGATGATAGCGCATCAGCGTTTTGGCCTTCCTTGCTGTGATTGGCATTGTAAAGTTGGTACTGTTGGGATACATAGTCTTGTTGCCTTCGACCTGGAAATGGAAACCGAAAAATATGAATATCAGTATAATAGCTCATAGCAAAGTTTAATGAATGAATAACTTAATTTATTAGGGGGATAGAATGGTGAAGAACAAGAAGAATTTGAACTAATGATAATTTTACTCTACAGCTGAACTGATATAGTGCAGTTATGACGGATGTTCAAATATTTTTTTCAGTTAACCGGTGTTTATCCTAAAATACTTTACATGGTATTTGGTGTTTCTTTTTCTAAGTTCTAAAATTTTTTTTGCCCTTTTCTTTTTGTTGTGACGTCATAGTGATATATAGGTAATTTGCGAATATAAAGTACAAATAAATGCAGGCAGACAGAAAGGAAGGTAGAGGGGAAAAGAGATGAGGTAGAAGAGGAGAAAGGAAGGAAAAAAGGACAGAAAACGAGGGAAGGGATAAAAATGGATTGAACGAAAAAAAGGTAAAGATGAGAGAGGGCGAAAGTCAGTAATGAGCTATTGAATCTAGCAGCAAGTATCAGTTGTAACGTTCTTTTAGATAAATGGAGGATACCTTTAGAAAATCATTCATACTTTCAGCAAAGCAATGTGCTTCAATTTCTCCTGTAACTGCATTGCGACGGATCCTGAGCTTATCGACTAGTTCTTGAGGCATCAGTCTGATTTCTTGACAAAATTCCTTAAAACAAATTCATATTGTTTTTTAAACAATTGTAAACACTAAAGAAATACATATGAGGATATTGAAGAAAGAAGGAGAAGGAGAAGGAGAAGGATATTGAGAATTATTAAAAGATGATGCGATCACATGCAAAACTTACCAGAACAGCCATCTGACAAGGTGGCGGATTGAGATCAAAAGATTCATCAAACACAGTCTTTCCTTTACATTTATAATCCGTATAATGACAGCTGTCCCTGTTCTGTGGTTTCAAGCCCCACATAAGGTTGACTTTAATCACCTTGTCTTCTTGGCTTGGCATGAAGGCCAGTTGTCTTAGTTTTCTGATACTGTACCAGTTAGTACCCTTTCCCCACACGGCCACCTTTGGAAAAAAAAGACATGGGCAAAATTTGTATTAAATTATGTAAAAATAATGTACCTGCTTTATTTACTTTTTTTTTTTTACAAAAATAGATAATAATACTTCCATTTCGAGTTCGCCTTTGCTCAGTCTTAGCCTCGATTGTGTACAAATGTTTTTTTTYCCTTTCATTAAGGTCCATTGTATAGTAAGGAATGTACGCACTACGGAACAATACGAGTTGATTAAAATGCCACGGGTTTGGGTTGAACAGCTGAATATTCTAATGTACAACTAAGGCTGAGCAAAGAGAACTCGAAGCTGGAGTATTGATTGCAAACGTAATATATGATTTGAACTTAAAAGATGACGGTATGATGACTTTAAGTGGAGATCTCTTCTCGTGGAATAAGTTTGCTGTGTATGTTTTTAGTTAAGATTTGTAAAACAAAAGTGCTCGAGGGATACGAAGAAACATGTTTTTCTTAAAAGAGCAGTCGTTAGGCGAATTTAATATTTATCTTTTCAGAAAAATTGAGAATCCTTGAATGTTTAAATGATTATAATTGTTCAATATTTGTACAGTCAAAGACAAGAAAATGATACCGTTCCTACAGAGAGAAAAAAATGCTTGTTAAGTATGTTTCGGCAGTTTTTAAAAAACAGTCTTGAAATTATATAAATAGAATGGTTAAAATATGCGCGAGGGACACGAAGAAACCGACGTTTTTCTTTCAAAAAAGAGAAAGGAAATTAAAGATTTATTATCATCAAAAAAAATTTGAATTTCGAAATGTTTTTTAAAAATTATTCAAGATTTGTGTTATTCAAAGACAAAACGATGGAAGTTAACAAAAAAAAAAAAAAAAAAAAAA